TCGCTGAAGCATGAATCATTTTCGCTGGCTGGGTGTGCGCGTTTGTGCTGACAGGACCATGGACACCAAAAGCAATGTTTGATAAATTAGCTTGTTAGAGGTCAGAGGGTGTGCTTTCTAGAGCATTCCTGTCCAGCAGAGTCTTGGTCCAAACAGCTTCGGCTGCCAATTGCTATCTGATTTGGCTATACCAGGCACGCCAGCGTGGTCTGGAAGTATGATCTTTTCAAGGCTTTGTCAAAACAATGACCAAAGGTCCAGGTTGCTTTCACGGTTCCAAGGGTTCCAAGGGTTCCAAGGTTCCAAAAGTTCCAGGGTTCCAGGGGTCCAGGGTTCCAGAAGCTTCCAAAGTCCAGAAGTTTCAAAGTTCCAGGGTTCCAGGGTTAGGGTTCCAAGGTTGCAGGGTTCCAGGGTTCCAGCATTCCAAGGTTTCAGTGTTTCAGGGTTCCAGGGTTCCAAGGTTCCAGGGTACCAGGGTCCCACGGTTTCAGGGTTCCAAGGTTTCCAGGGTTCCAAGGGTTCCAAGGGTTCCAAGGATTTCAGGGTTCCAGGATCCCAGCAGGGTGCCAGGTGTGCAGGGTTCCAAGGTTCCAGGGTTCCAAGGTTGCAGGGTTCCAGAATCCTTGAGGGTTCCAGGGTGCCAAGGTTCCAAGGTTTCAGGGCTCCAAGGTTTCCAGGGTTCCAAGGGTTCCAAGGGTTTCAGGGTTTCAGGGTTTGAGGGTCCCACGCTTTCAGGGTTCCAAGGTTTCCAGGGTTCCAAGGGTTCCAAGGGTTCCAAGGGTTCCAAGGGTTCCAGGGTTTCAGGGTTCCAGGATCCCAGCAGGGTGCCAGGTGTGCAGTGTTGCAAGGTTCCAGGGTTCCAAGGTTGCAGGGTCCCAGAACCCTTGAGGGTTCCAGGGTGCCAAGGTTCCAAGGTTTCAGGGTTCCACGGTCGCAGGGCAAGGTTCCAGGGTTTCAGGGTTCCAGGGTTCCGGGGTTCCAGGGTTCCAGTGTTCCAAGGCTCCAAGGTTTCAGGGTTCCAGGGTTCCAGGGTTCCACGGTCCAGGGTTCCAGGGTTCCAAGGTTCCAGGGTTCCAGGATCCAGCAGGGTTCCAGGCGTGCAGGGTTGCAGGGTTCCAAGGTTCCAGGGTTCCAAGGTTGCAGGGTTCCAGAATCCTTGAGGTTCCGGGGTTCCAGGGTTCCAGGGTTCCAGGGTTCCTGTTCCAGGGTTCCAGGGTTCCAGGGTTCCAGGGTTCCAGGGTTCCAGGGTTCCATTCCGGATTTTGAAGGCTGCAAGTCCCCGCGAGCCAGCCCCAGCCCTAGAGATTGAAACCCAATAGGCCCTGCTGTTGGGAATATAGAAAAACATACCATACCCATCAAACTTGAGGCCAGGGGAACGTACGGAAGCTAGCAGGACGCTACTAGTGTTGTACCGGAGATTGCTCAAGTGCAAGAGTAAACTGATGAACTGATGACGACGATGGTGGGCACGAATGAATTTGCAATAATTAATGCTGATGCTGATGATGATGATGATGATGATGATGGTGATGGTGATGGTGATGGTGATGATAATGATGGTGATGGTGATGGTGATGATGATGATGGTGATGGTGGTGGTGATGATGATGATGGTGATGATGATGATGATGATGATGATGATGACGATGTTGATGATGACGATGACGATGACGATGACGATGACGATGAAGATGATGATGATGATGATGATGATGATGATGATGATGATGGTGATGGTGATGGTGATGGTGATGATGATGATGATGGTGATGGTGATGGTGATGGTGATGATAATGATGATGATGGTGATGATGATGATGGTGATGGTGATGGTGATGATGATGATGATGGTAATGATGATGATGATGACGACGACGATGATGAGGATGACGACGACGACGACGACGACGACGACGACGAGGACGAGGACGACGACGACGACAATGATGATGACAATGCCCGAGAGAAAGATGAAAATGAAGAAGGCGAAGATAAAGACGCACAAACCTGTACCTGCCCAAAACCACCTGATGATGGTGATGCAAATGCTGACGATGAAATGCTGAAAATGAATTTTTGGGATGATGACAACCCATGGTCCAGTGTGCAGGTGCAGGGGGCGTCTAAGAAGTGTCGAAGGGGGGTACCAGAGGGGATTGAACCTGGGCCGGTCAAGGGGGGAGGGGGGGTCTAACTGGAAAGTTTCGCGGTTTCCAACGATCATGGTGCCTGCCTATTCCTTGCTATAAAAGCAACTTCAGCTACCACAAGCTAGCTTTCGTAACAAAAAGGGTTCTGACCCGCACCCACCTGGTGTCTTTGACGCATGCACTTGTGTCTTGGCCAGAAGTACATGAATTCGCTTGCGCTCGGCACATGGGAAACTCAAGGGCCATACATTGACTGCTGCTTTTCGTCGAGCAAAAAGGTCGGCTGAGGTCAGATATGGTCGGATGACGCACGAAGTCCAGTTGGAATTGGATGTCTTCATTTCAATTGTTGAGGATTCCAGGAGCTCCCAATCATCATGTTCCAAAGTGGGTGAGTTGCTAGTGGCCAGTGAACAAAATGCTGTGATTTGTTCATAGGGCATCAGAAAACCTGTGATTCAATGCCCTCCATGTTCTTGAAGACTGGCCTAATACTACAAAAATGCACCACCTTCGCACCGATTTTGTCAGCGTCCCAGCATCCAGCCCTTGACTGGTCGCACAGTTTGCTCAACAAAGGTCCCAGGATTTGCCTCGGCCACTGCCGGGGAATGACAACTCCAATATTTCCTTCAGGAATTGGCCAATGGGATTGACACAAAAGCCCCATATTTGCCTGCCAATGTTCTCATAGGTGTCCTCCAAATTGTTCTCTAATGTCCTTTAAGTGTTTCAGTCAATCAGCGACTGATCGATTCCGGAAAACCAAAATGAATGTTGCGAGTCGAACCACAAAAGAAGTCGCTTAAATCATCCTAAAACATGTTCACAAGGATTACCTGTTTCTCATGACCTAACATAGGACCGGAGCAAAAGGTGCTTGAAGCCCCTTCATGAAATCACTGCTCAACGACAATGAATAGTCCCATTTATTTCAAACGTTCTCACAGCCATGTGAGTCGTCATTAAACCCATTTCTTAGATCTCATCCGTTTACTGCGCATGAATCACAACCAGTGATGTGGGTTTGCACTCTTACAGCCATCTGCACGTACGTGCTAAGCAAACCGCACAGTTTTGCTGTGACATGCCATTCACCCATCATGAAAATGATATGGGAAATTGCCAAGAAATAAAGCGTTCATCTGCGTGTCCCTCAGCCGAATTCAAGTATTCAATCTCCGATTCTTTGTTGAATGAATATTCAACTAATATCACCACAATATCCTCGTTTTTGGTAATTATCCCTGTGCTTTCCCAATATCCTCATAATGCCCAGCGGCTGCGTCATCCCCAGCAGCTGTTGTGTCTGCCATTGTTTCCCCGCCATTTCGCAGGCGCCCAGCGCCGCTGCCAACGTCTTCACATCGGCGTTGGACGACGACACCGCGCGGTGGAGCAGGTGGAGGGCCAGGGGCCAATGGAGGCACTGGGCCAGGGACCAAACCTTGGGAATTGGGAATGGGAACGATCCGTATTAAATACCAAATAACTAAATACATATAGATAAATAATATCTATTTATTTCTTCACCGCACATCCAATTTCTCAACTGATCAACGGCTTCACTGCAAGCAGATTCACGCCTTCCCTTTTTCAAACCTCATCGGGGGACTTCAAGTCTCGGCCTCATAGCCCACTATCTCACGAACGGTGGGTTAGGCTGTGTACTGTACGCCAGGAAATACTGTAACCCCTGGAACTTATGGAACTTATTGCTGTCTTTGGTGAAAGAGATCAAGGATATTTTCTATGATCTGGGCGATCTGCCTCTGGCAGTATGAATCAAGATCCCTAAAGGTCAGTCGGGCTTGTTCAACTCGATTCTCCCAATTGCGATTGGTGAAGCTGTGGGTCTCCAGGGAGTCGCCGACGTCGTCGGTATGGATAAGTGCTGCTCGAACAAGTTGCTGGAATGCCACAACTCGTTGCAGGGTCTGAAGTTGGGCTACGAGTTGGTGATCTGCTGGATCCATGGGTGGTGGGTGGGCCAGAGCAGCCAGAGAACGCAAAAGCGCTTCCCACCCTCCTCACCCTTGAGCAAAGTCTCAACGAGGGTGTGAATCATTTTCTTACAAACAACACAATCATGCAATGAGAAATTGAATGCAAGCTTTGATTGCGTACACTCCATCAAAGGTAGCTTAAAAGAAATAAACGTTTGTTGACTACGCCAACTGCCCTCATTATTTCTTCACCGCACATCCAATTTCTCAACTGATCAACGGCTTCACTGCAAGCAGATTCACGCCTTCCCTTTTTCAAACCTCATCGGGGGACTTCAAGTCTCGGCCTCATAGCCCACTATCTCACTCCCCCTTCTCAAGTGGGGTATGAGAGCATCTGGATCTGGCACGTTCCAAAATGCCAGCTAGATTTTTCACCTTGGATTCTAACTGTGGCTGCAACATGGCATGTTCTCGTAACCGTGAAGGGTGGTCTGCCACGTTGGCTTCCGTGGGCACTCTTGCGTACCACGCCAACGAACTAAGCTCTTCTTCACACAGCGCAATCTCATGCACTATGCTTTCCAACACTTTGTTGGAGGAGTATCCTTTCAAAATCAAAAACCTAGACCCTTCGTTATCCAAGAAACATACCAGGTGCTTTGACTTGAGGTGAAGTCCCCACAGGCGATAAGCCACCAGCACGGCTAGAGCTTCTAATTCTCCAATCGCTTGCTCCTGGTTCTCAGCCATGAAGGAATCACAAAGGTCTTGGGGGACGACGCAGCCAAACCATTGAATGACATGGCCGCACCTATCCAACAGAACGGCCCCAAGCCCTCCACTTCTGGCTTCACAATCGAAGCTAGCATCAGTGAAAAGAAATGAAACGTCACTGGTGGTGGCTTCGACTCTGCGCGGTCCAGCTTTGACTACCCTGTCGGCCACCATCTCCAAGGCTCTTCTGGTACCATCTCCCAAGGTGCCCCTGGTTGGGGTATGCATGGCGTGGTGCCCAAGCTCGTTGATCAACCTTCTGATCGCTCTACCAAACAATTGACCTTCTGCGAAACCAAGTCTCCCTTTGAGAGATGCCGCTTTTGAAGAGGTCATCCGTCCGGCTTGGAGGATCTCCGCTATCTGCCCCGCTATGTCCACCTTCCTCTTTTCAGTGTTGGCCACAAGGATGACCCCATCGGCGCTCTGACTCAGATCGAACACGACCCCGAGCGCGGAGACCTGCTCGCTCATGCTGTCAGCTTTTTCGCCGCTGCGATCAAATTCCCAACCAAGGAGGTCCAACAAAAGTTCGAAGGCCTTCTCCGTATTGGAGGCCACTGCTTCGGGGGCCATGCACACATAGTCATCAAAGTAGCAGGTGACCGGGATGTCCAAATGGTGGGCCAGCCACTGGATCATTCTAGCACAACGAAGGAAGGCCACCACACTAGCCTTTGCACCAAAAGGCAACGAAAACTGTTGGAAACAGCGTGTGCTGCGATCTTCAGGGCAAAATACTGCGAGGCGCGCCCATTTCAAAGAATCATCTTTTACTGCAAGTTGACGATAAGCGCTCTTGAGGTCGAAGCTCCTCCCTTTCAGCTTCTTGGGAAGGCGCCCCATCCCTAGGGCTCTCATCAACTCAGCTCCCATAGCGCTGATGGTATCCACTCCATCAACAGTGCAGCGTCCAGTGATGTTGACCGCGTCGTTGATCTGTGACTCAGTGTAGTTGTCTATGGGCCTCACCTTGTCCTCTGCTTGAACCACAGCGAAGCGCCTAGACACTCGGCCATCATCTTTGGGCAGGCCAGGGAGCTCGGCAAGCCAACCCTTCTCAACTTCAGCTTGGGTCTTGCGCCACAACTCAGCGTCAACTACTTCATTGCCGCTTGACTTGGTGGAGTGGAAAACTGCCCGATTGCTGCGCCCTGAGTGCATGCTCAGGTCATTGATGGTCAAAGTGGCAGGCTGAAACTCAGCGGGCAAAATGCCTCCACCCTCTGCGGTCCCCACCAAGCTGAAGCCATCTCTCATGTCCTGGACAATCCTCAAGTCAGGGTACTTAAGGTCTTCAAGAATTTCCTGTAGCACCAAGAATCTTTTGCCCTTCAAGATGTTTCTGCGGTGAGGCGGCAAAGCAGCATGCAGTTTGGCCTCTTCGGCTCTGAGCTCAAATGCACGTGTCGTCCATGTTCTGAACCACTGCGCTCTCCTCAAGACTAAGGCTTCGAAGTCGGCAGTGGCATTGTTCCTAATGGATGACCTCAGGCTTTTGGGAATGCCATCCACCAAATTGGCGGGGTGGCCTCTCTTTAACGCCTCCTCTATGAAGCCCTCTTCACTCCAGGGGACGCCAAAAGCCACCTGAACTCCACTATGAGCGTTCTCCCCCCCATCTTGCTCATGGTGAGGGGCCGCTGTGATGCGCAAAATGCGCGCGTGTTGTGGAATGCAAATGGAGTTTTGCTGGAAAGCTTCTGGAAGCTTGGTGCCCACCGTAAATGGCGGCATAGTTGGCACGTTTTGAGTCTCCACATGGCTCCATTCGGGCATGAAGGCAAGGGACTTCCTGGTCTGCTTCATGCTGTGTGCTCTGGCTTTCTTGTCCGGGTGGCTTGGCAGCGGTTCCAAGGCTCCCTTGTAGGTGCGCTCAACAACACGCGCAATGATTGCGGCCCATTGTTTGCACAGCTCCAGGGGGTACTCCACCTCGGTTGCTGTGGCAAAGCCCTCGGGCGTATAGCCCCAAGGCAAGTGTGAGTGTTGGTTAGTACACTCACATGCCAGCTCGGTGAGTTCGTTGATGTCTGTGGCAATCGTAGTTTTCTTGGGCCGCTGGCCACCGAACATGCATGAGTGGAAGGTGACGTAGAGGGGCTGCGCAAAGGTTAAAACAAACTGCCAAAAAACTTGTTGCCCAAAACCAAGACCTAGCTGGCTGTTCTAAACTCCAACGAACTCCACGCAAGATGCAGAGCACGATGAGGCGGCAACCTGCTGCGTAGACTCTGTTTGCTGCAGCTACCCGTTCTGCATCTTTTGCTGGAAGGTCGGGTATACCGTCTGGGTGCTCTGCATTTCTAAGTGGCGCTGGTGCCCTTGGCATGTTGGGCAGTGCAATTTCTCTGGCTCGGCTCGAAGTCCCACATGGGAGCCCGAAATGTGCATAGGCGCACAGGGGGCTATTGATGTAGGATCTGGCAAGTTCTTCTCCATCTGGGGTCGCGATATCTACCTTTACAATGGGTGCCTTGTTGCCAGCCTTCACTATGTGGTCGACGCCAAATGATCCTGCCAGTCCAGCCTTCTTGAGCTGAGCTGTCAAGCCGCCCGTCCCAGAACAAAACTCCACTGCGAACGGGGAGGCCGTTTCTGTTGCTTCTCCAGCGGTGGCCAAAAGTCCTCTTGAGGTTTGCTGCTGTATTTCTGTTGCGGCGGCGACTACCTCGTTCTCGTCAAAGGATGCTTTGAGGTCGTTGCCACCAACGCGCGGCGGTTGTTCTTCGACAGCGCCACTGGGCTTGCATTGAATTCCAGATTGCGACGGGGCCGTCCCGTCCTCGAGGGGGCTATCCCCCGCTCCTCATTTCTTGCTGCATGAGAAGTGCGGGTGCTTCTCGAAGCATCCACGTGTGCAGCATACATGTTTCCCTTTCTCACATGACTCACCAGGGGCAGCCTTGCTGCAGCCGTCTATGTGGAACCCAAAACAAATGCGACTTCCGTCTGGTGTGGTGCTTGCGCAACCCTTCAGCTGCATCGGGAGCTTGCCACCATTCTGGCCTGTGGCCCCCTTCTTTTGCTTCCATTGCCCTTGTTTTGGGCTGCGCCATGAGCTCGACTCGTTGCCTTTCCAAGGAGCGCCCCAGTTTTGCTTCTCGGGCTTGTCCGGCTTAGCTTTCGGAGCGGCTTTCTGAGATTCCACCGTAGGCAACATGTAGTACACTACGGAGTGGTCCTTGTGCATGTCCTCCAAGATTTTGTCGAGGGGGCGTGTCCCGTCTCCCTTGGGCTTGATCCCATCACGAGTGAGCTCTTGCATTTTCACAAAAGCCTGCCGGTCCGCACGGAGCAACTGAGTCACTGACGGCGCCCGGAACCCTGGTGGGGCTGGTTGCCTCATCATCTGAAAGAGGCACTGGATCCACTTCTGGAAGGTCTCGAAGTCCGCAACCCCCACTGCATCAAATGCCAGGGATCTCCTGGTCATCGCCTCCATGATGTCCAGCTCACCGCTCACAGAGCAGGTCTGCTCACTCTGCGCGTCTTTGACCAGGATGCCGCTTCCACTTGAGTCTAGCTTCAATTCTTTGGGGGGCTTTGCAGAAGTGATCTCCTGCATCCTGGTAATGCATTTGGCCGGAGACAGGTATTTCAAAGTGTCGGCCTCCACCATCCCGTTGATCACGTCATAAACCGAGTGAGCAACTTCGAGAGTGCCTTGGAGGTCCAAGCCTGTCAGCCGCAACTTCTGGGCAGCCAATCTTGTCGCCCGCTCTGCTGTCGGCATCTTGCGACCGCTCGGATCAGCTGCAGGGTCTGCATGCGCCCTGGACAACGCCACCATCGACGTCTGGGCTTCAAAAATCAACCTCTTCATCACCACAACGCCGCCTACCGTGATGGCTTTGCCACTGACCGCCTGGTCCAGCAAGGCCCTGACATCAGCTTCAGGCACTGGGCTTCCTGGTTGGCCGCACGCAAAGGCAAGGCCTCCTAAATTCTTGATGCCCAAGCGTTTGAGCCCCTGAATCCATTCATCTTCCAAACCAAGGTTGCTCGCCTGCTTCTCGAAGGCGGCTGTGCTATCGGCAAGCGAGGTGGCGGCCATGGCAACGCTACAGGAGGGTTATGAAACTTGTGAAAGAAACGTCAGGGACATGAACCAAGTGAACATGAAAGTTGTGTGATCCTACCGTGACACGGCCAATGCGTGCTAGAGCCTCAAGCCGGTCTCCGGGACATGCTGACCACAGTCAAGTCCGCAACAAAGCTATAAAACTTGTGAAAATAAAACATCGAGAACATGAACCAAGCGACCATGGGAGTCGAGTGATCCTACCGTGACACGGCCTCTATGTGCTAGAGCCTCAAGCTGCCCTCCGGGACATATTGACCACAGTCAAGTCCGCTGCAAATGATGATGGCCTCATGCCAAAAATAGATCACACGTACAATCTCAAATCAGCAAACAAAGCCCCAAACATGTAGTGTCTTGAAATGCCTCGTGCATGTGGGCCTCATGCCAAAGAACTAAACCTTCAGTGGCCTCATGCCTGAAATGTCTTACGCCTCAAGCGTATGATAGTCAGACGCCTCGTGCATCTGCTCACAAGATACCCTCAGGTACATCCTGGCCTCATGCCGAACTTTCTGAGACTCTTTTTTTTGTGCTGCAATGAGTCTCGAATCAAATGCGGCGGCGCTTGCCACTGCTGATGACATCAACCAGACTCTTCTCCTTGTCCTGGTCCTTCTTGAAACATTTGCTGCACTTCGGCCAGTCAAACGTGGACCCATTTGGCAACTGGGAGAAGCTTGAGCCGTGGAGCCCGCACAAAGTCACAGGCTGCAAGTGGTTGGATTCATCCTGACTTCTGCGGTGCAGCATCTTGCTCCTCTTGTTCTGCATGAGGTCGCCCTCCACCGCCTTGGTGTCAGCATTATCCAAGAGGCTGCGTTGCTTTTCGAAGAACTCCTCCTCATCACTGCTCGAGCCACCTGCATCAGAGTCAAGACCGGCTGAAGAAGCGCTCTCCACGATCTCGTCTCCATCTTGGCATGGAAGTGGGTCGTCTCGCCCATCTGCGTCCTTCGCGTCGTCCCAAGCCTGCTCACCGAAAGGGTTGCTGGGATCAAACCCGGCGCCGTGCTCCTGAGCATCATCGGGGGCCGGCGATGGACTTGGGACCAATGAGCTCAGGTCATCCCCGTGCTCACTCACCTTGGCCTCTCTTGCTTTCTCCAACCTCACCTCCATCAAAGGACCCGCCATCCACCCAGAGCGGGTACCATTGGGATCGAATTTCCCCAGCTGGATGTTCAACAAGAGGCCAGCTAGGTCTCTCAAAGGCTTCGCCAACATGTCACGCGAATAGCACGCCAAGGAGTGCTCCTTCAGGGCGTGATGCCCAAGCATCGCACCGCACTTGTCGTCGATCCCAAAACGAGCTGCCCAAACCAGTGTGGTCGCCTTGAGTGAATGCGACGTAGTAGCCCTGGGGGTGTTCTCGATCTCCAAGAAAGCATTAAGCATGGAGCTGGCTTCCGCCGTGGTCAAGGCCCTCTTGGTGAACTCGCCATCGGCAGTGGGGGCCCTGCAAATGGGTCCAAAGGGTTCATGCCCGGGAAACAAGTGCAACTCCTTTAAAGTCTCTGCCCAGGCCAAACCCCAGGGCTCAATCCCAATGCCACGAATCGGAGCCACGTACGGCATGAACATCGCCTTCCGTTCAACGCTGCTCGAGGTCTTGTGAATTCGTGTTCGGCCTTCCCAGAACCCGAACTTGCCATCATGCACCTGGATGACGTCCAGCTCCAAGCTTTGCATCGAAGCCATGTCTCCCCACCTGGCACGGGAGTACAGGGCATAGAGCATGCAGCCGATGAAGTATCGGTCATATATGTTAGGAGCTGTCCTGAGCTTGTTTTCTAGGAGCTTGACTTCTTCTACCGTGAGGGCACGTGCCTGTTCAGTGGGCTCTCTGGTAGCGAGGACCCTGCTCACTCGGCCTGTCAAAAGGGGGCCACAGACTCGGTCCACGTCAAACTCAGCTCCAAAGAGAAACTTGAAAAACTTCAAAGAATGCATCAGGTTCTTTCCTATGAACTTGCTCTTGCTTGCAACCTCGACTGCTTCAAGATAAGCAAGCAAGTTGACTTCCTCCAGCGGCCACCAATGGACTGAGTTCTTGTCTGCCCACTTGATGAACAATTGCAGGTCTTTGCCACGCTTCAGGACGGTGCTGGGCGACCGAATGCCACAGGCATCTCTGATGCAAACCAAAGCTCCGTCTCTGAGGCCACTCTCCACCTTCTCCATGACGTACTTACCCACAAGCGACTCGAAGCGGCTCCCTTCAACTATAGCAAGCCAACATGCTAAGCCCCTTGTCCACAACAAGCTCTGAGATGCTGCATGGTCACGATCAGTGAGGGCTTTGACATGCTTTGCAAATACAGGGACGCCACTCGCCGCCTGTCTCATCTGTGGGTCGATTGAAATGTGAGCTCCCACCTCTTCGTTCTTGGCAGTGAATGGCATCGCAGCAGGAGTCGGCAGCCAGGCATCTTCTGATGGGAAAACCTGGATGTCTTCCCCAGCAAAGATCTGGGCGTAAATGCCCTGTTCCCATGGCAGCTTGGGTAAGCCCAAGCCTAACTGAGGTACGCTTTGCTCAAACACTGTGCGTTCATGATGTCGCCTTTCGACAGTGGAAAACCTACGAATGCTAGCTTCTTTTGGAATCTCGGCAGGGATCTCGTCTGAACCTGGGTCATGATACATCTGGTCGTCTTCTTCTTCCTCAGCCAACAGTTGGTGAACATCTTCCTGTTCAGATCCTCCAAACAGGTTCTCCAGGTCAGTTGCTGGTTCAGGTTTCGCTTTGGCCATTTCTTCTGGGTCGTCAATCGTAATTGACTGTTCCCCTGCTTCCAAGGTTTCAGCGCCACCAGCAGTAGGCTCCACATCTGGCTGGGTCATAGTTCCAAACTCAGCCAACGCATCTGGAGCCGGGGGAGCAGCCTCAGACAACGAAGAAGGCATACTCACAGCGGGAACGTCAGCGCCATCCGCCTCCATCCCCCCTACTCCAGAGCAGCCAGAGAACGCAAAAGCGCTTCCCACCCTCCTCACCCTTGAGCAAAGTCTCAACGAGGGTGTGAATCATTTTCTTACAAACAACACAATCATGCAATGAGAAATTGAATGCAAGCTTTGATTGCGTACACTCCATCAAAGGTAGCTTAAAAGAAATAAACGTTTGTTGACTACGCCAACTGCCCTCAATATACATACTGTATATGCATATACAAATATAGAAACATAGATACATATATATATATATACATACAAAACTCAATATGTGGTATCATGATGGCTATCATGTATGTATTTTCATCAGAATATTGTACATATGTATAAATATGGACGTGCATATATTTTGCATATGTATGAAAGAATCGTTCCTAGCTCACGGCATCTTCTTAGACAAGGAGAGGATAGTTTGCAATCTCGATGCCTCAGTGCTTCAGGGAAGAAATTCATGCGACTACCAAATGAACAAACAGATCAAGAGTTCGGCAAATGATGCCCGATGCCCCCACCAAAAAGCAACACCGGTGTCTGGAACAGGACATGCACTCGGACACAACCACTTTCGGGAAAAATTTGACCCTGCAACAACACAATCCGCAGGCGCCGAAGGTGCCGAGGTGTGATCGCTTAGCAGCGAGTGACACGGTCAAATCTGTCAGACTGGTACAGCTTAGCTGGGGGGGGGCGGGGCAGTGTCGACCCAGCCGGCCGCCAAAATTGTTTACGGGACTGTGGGTAATTTGCTCATTTTGCAGATCGGCCCAACATCACCACACTGGACCTTTCGATCCGCAACATCGGCTCCAATTGGCGTCAACTTCAGCCAACAAAGCCCAACTTGGACCCACTTGGCTCCAACTGCTGGACCTATTCGGCTCCAAGATGGCGCAATATGGCCGCAAGTTGGACCAATTTGTGAGCAACTTCGGCCCAAATTCAGGTCAACATAGGCTCAGCATGGGAGACATGGTCGCCGCAATCCGAAAAATCCTCAAAACGCCCGTTTTCACAGGAAATTTCCGCGTTTTTTTGCTATCGACGGTGCTTCGTTTGAAGTAATGTTCCCCATTTTGTGTCTACGTTGTGCCCAACTTGGTGTGAAGATGGCGCGAAAGGGTCCCAAGTTGCACCACTTTGCATGTGACTTGGACTTCCATGCGCATCACACGGCTTCAATTTGGGGATCGCTTTGGGCCCAACTTCAGCCCAACATACCTATTGAACCCCACTTCCACTTGCGCACCACCTGGGCCCATGATAGCGCAACTTGGTTTCAAGTTGGGGTAGCCGGGCGCCCCCCAAGTTGGGCCCAACTTGGGCCCAACCCGGGCCAATTTTGCAGATTCAATGCGGCACGCTGAAACCTTGCATTTTGCCACTATTTCCAACGGCTTTGAGGGCCAACTTCGGCGCCAGCTGCCCCACACACAGGACCAAGTTGCGCATGCTAAGCCCAACTTGCGTTCAAACGTGCCCGGGCTGCGCCATGTTGGACCCCAGTTGGGCTCAAGTTGGGCCCAAGTTGGAGCCAACTGGCCCGAGTTCGGCGCAAATTACGCCCAAGTTGCGCCCAAGTGGGCTGTTCGGCACAGCTGTTGGGTCAAGTAGGCCCGCTGCTTTCCTCTCTGTCCGTTTTGCCTGGGTGCGGGCAGTTCTCGTCGCGAAGCGACTCAAATACAGTACAAACTTGGCTGCTAAGACACTGTGACGTTGTAAGTGATCACATCAGGTTCTTTCAGCTGGCCCAGTAGGTACAAGGCCTTTTCCCATCTGAACCCTTTGGCACATGCGGAAGCAACTGCATTGTAAGTGTTCCGTGTCGGGCAGATCATATCCACCGCCATCCAGTGCCAAAGCCAAAGGGAGACAGGCCACTGGGTGGCACGTTCAGTGGAACTCACCAAAGTGTTGCAAGTGATTAGGTCGGCCTGCAGGCCCATCCTGGACAGCACATCATGGCAGTGATTATACGAACATTTGGGATTGTAGCAAGTAAGTAGGGTGTTTCTTGAAAATTTAAAAGAGCGCATCTCGCATGATTGCGGCAAGACATCCAGAAGCTGAAACAACATCAGTCCCAAGACACAGACCCAAGACCACAAAAAAATGAGAAGCGAGTATCCTGAGAATCCTGAGTATCCCTTGTTTTAGCATGCAAATTAATGGCCAAGTTTCGTGCTGAGGTGCTGAAGCGTGCTAAAGCCTTGTCTCCACGCCATGGCATTGCCACAACCGTTGAGTGCTGCATTGGCTGTGGCAATGTCTTGACCAGGAAACAGTGTTGCTAGTCCCCCCTGCCACTTTGCTGCAGTTGCAAATGCACCAACCACGGCACCCATCAGAATCACCTTGAGACTGACGTGGAACTTCCAATCAAAATGAAAGATCTAAGACACAAAGCTCAAAACACAAAGCTCCTAGAAACTCCTTCCAAAAGGCCTGCAATTTCACTCATCACCCAAGGATCATCGGGCTGCATCACCATCTGGGCATCGTCCAGCAACCTGGCCGCCTGTTGCCACGCGCCAGCAGCACCACAGGCACTCACCACGGCACCATAGGTCACCACATCGGTCACCACATCAGCGCCATCCGCCGTCACTGCCGTCACCAACAGCCGCAGCGCCACCCGCCAGGCACTGGAGTTCTCACACGCTGTGAGCGCCGCGTTGAGCCCCACCAGATTCAGAGCTGGTGCCCGTGATGCTGGTGATGCTGGTGATGCTGGTGATGCTGGTGATGCTGGTGATGCTGGTGATGCTGGTGGTCGGGTGGATAGTTGGGACAGGGAATAGGAATAAAGTAGCAAGGCCAACTGCCACTGGGAACCTTGGATTTGCTGGGCAAAATGCATTGTGTTCCGGAAAGATTTCCCAAATAGCGGATCATCCCACAGTGGATGTCTTGAAGATCTTGAAGTAGGAAACTCATGGAAAATCATGGAAAATTGCGTTTCAGGCCCCAACCTTGACCACAAGCACTGATAGCTGAGTTATAGGTGATCAAATCTGGTTGAAGTCGTTGGCGGTGGAGCAAAGTCATCAGCCATATGGCCTGGCACCATTCGCGGGACTTTTCACATGCACTTATGGCGGAGTTGTAGGAAATCTGGTCGGCCAAAGCCAATGTTCTCCTGATTTTTGGGAGAAACATGCTAGGGAGTTGGGTTTGGGATGCTAATGGCTCAATGGGGGTTGGAAAGGGAAACATGAGCAACCCTGAAGGAAGCACTGTAGCCACCAACAGGCTTGGAAAGAAGAAAATAAACCAAATAAAGCTAAAGTGCCAGCAGGGCTCAAATTCATCAAAATGTGCACTGCTTGCTGCCAGTGTTGAGCTTTCCCAAATGCACTGATCATCGTGTTGAACGAAAACAGATCAGGATGGAAGTTCAACTGAGCCTCTTCCAGGAGCATCACAGCCTGTTGCCACTGCGAATATCTCTCACATGCACTCATGGCTGCATTGTACATCATCAAATCAGCTAAGCTGTAGCCAGCTGCCTCAGCCAGCAACTGCGTGGCGTACCTCCAACTCACACCTTTGACAACTTTTATACCAGTGGTATAACTCACCACAGTCAGCTGCAAACCCAAAGCCGCGGTAGCCGCCATCAGCTGCATGGAGACCTGCCACGCCGTGGCTGTGACCAAGGCCTTGAGCCGTTGGTTCAGCGTCACCACATCCTCCAACCGTTCCGATCGTTCCGACTGTTCCAGTGGCCCTTTTCTCGGCTTCAGCGCCTGGCGCCAGGGGCCGCCCAACGAAGCGTTGAAAGTCACCAGGGGCACCTGGCTGCCATCGTTTTCACAGCGCTCCAACAGGGCCAGGGCCTTCTGCCACTGCTGACGCTTGCCGTGGCCACTGATGACCTGGGCCTGGGACACCTTGCTGACGGTCCGGACGGGTCGGACGGGCACCGAATGCACCGAATTCACCGGCACCGAGGACGCCATGGGGCGCAGCGAATTCTAGCGACGTTCAACATGGGAAGCTTGGAGAGATACCAGAAGAGTTCTCACATCTGAGCAGGTAGATCTTATAGCATGGCAAGATCCATGGGAAATGGGGTGTAACAACTTCCACGCCATCCTCAAATTTAAGTGCTTTGCGATTCCTACATGATGAACCTGAGGAAGTGGTGACCATCGCACTGTCTGCATTTAGGTGTTTATTATAGATATATGTGCACTATATGTATCTATATACATATATACGTATATACGTATATGCATATATATATATATATATACGTATATACATATATACATATATACATATATACATATATACGTATATACGTATATACGCATATACGCATATACGCATATACGGATATACATATATACATATATACATATATACATATACATATATATATACATATATACATATATACATATATATACATATATATACATATATACATATATACATATATACATATATACATATATACATATATACATATATAAATATATACGTATATACATATATACGTATATACGTATATACGTATATACATATATACATATATACATATATACATATATACATATATACATATATATATATATACATGTATACATATATACATATATACATATTTACATATATATACATATATATATATATGTGTATATATACAAATACAAATGTTCATGTGCGCAAGGCCCGAAATCGGATCATGTCTCTACTTGCACCTGTGACGGTACACTCGCGGCTTGCCCGGCAATCGGCCGAGTTGTTGGTGAAAGGGCCAGTCACATCCAACCTCAGCTGGCTGCAGGCGGTTGGCATTGAACCAACGTATCCCATCCAATTTACTATGTGGATTGGATTTATGAGGTACATCAACGAGATATGATTACACAATTTTGATCTGTACACAAATGGGTTTCCTACTAAGTGATGATACCGTTGGATGGACTTGAGCAATGCCAAGTGTCTGCAGTGTACGAAACGTACGAAAGCAATTCTTGTGTGGTATCTGCAAAGGTGATTTTCCCAGATCTTGCCAGCGTTGTTGAGCAAAAACTACACCTATATCTGTCCACAAGATCAGCCTGCAAATTCCCTGAAGCAATACCCAGTCCCTTGCTTGCTGACTTTATTTTACCTTGGGCATTCACTACTCAGTGACATATATGTGGAGCACGGCATGAAAGAAAATTTGGGGACTTGAACAAAATGTTTCATCATGCTGTCCCCAACTGTTTGATTTTCTGGAACTGGAATTATGCCACACTGCTCTGCAATCTACTAATTTTAGGGACCCCAATCCTTTCTCCCTACAAGCCCTCTATAGATGACTATATTGTTGTGTCTTGTCTTGTCTTATCTTATTGTACAGTACCTCTATTTTTTTTGTCTAGTGAGTCTAGTACATGCATCGTCATTCTGTACCTTTCATTACTAGATACTTTGCTCGGTCCAGAGATCTGCTTGACGCCAGAGTTCCAGGTCAGAGGGATCCAGAGAACCATCGGTATACCATTGGATATCACATGATATTATCATTGAATCATCATTGAATCATCATGATATCAGAGTGTATCGCTGTAGCGCTGTATCGCTCAGTTCTCGTGTCCAAGGCACGGTGTCTCGCAGTCGCTCGGCGCAATGATTCCAGCCGGGCGGACGCGCTGGGCCTGGGGAGCGGGGCTGGGGATTGTGGGGACACAGATCAACACGGCCGAAGCAACAAATGGATGCATGGATGACCCTAATGACATGTGTTCAGAAGTAAATAACTGTCTTCGAATCACAAGCACTTATCTTGTCTTCAACACTCTGATATCCAATAAGTCTGCACTTTAAAACAACATTACCAACACTGGGAATCGTTAAGTGACAGCGTTGATCAATTGTATTCCCCACGTGTCCATAGTCACTGTCAGCTCAGACTAAAGTGGTGCAGTAATGGTGCAGTGATTACAAACCAACCATGAAACCACCTGCTGTTATCATCCCATCCCCCGTGCCTAAGGATAGCAGGATATAGCAGATCGCAGACTTGATAGTTTGGAGAGGCATCGTAGGTGAAACGGAAGTGGAGGCAAGCACTACATAGCACTACCTCACAGGTCACAGGTCGTGGAGCCGACCCAGGATCCATCTTGATGGTTTAGCGAGGTCCTCTGTGTTGATCGAATTCCACATGGTAAAACTGGAAACACAAACGAGAGGTGCACTATGGTGCACTAAGTTGTGCCATGTGCCCTAGAGCAAGATGAAAAGAGTGCTACTGGGGTTTCATGGGATTTCCATCGGCCGTCGGTACATCTCCACAGACTTGAAGAATATCTGAAGTTTTTCTGTCGGACATACCCCCCTATGTACCTGTCAAATAACTCTATGATGTCTTACAAAGGGTGCATGAGATTTGCAACCCAATCCCAACAACTTATCGTAACTTACCATGTCCTGTTTTATATCGGTGCCCAGGCACTTGACACACACAGGGCCCGACATGCCGCATCGGCCACGCCAGCCGCACTGCTGAGCCTCAAAGCATTCGTCCGTCGATCGATCCAAAGTAGCTCAGCTGGAACCAATAAAAAATTATTTATCCCTTTGGGGAAATCCCTTTGGGGAAATCCCTTTGGGGAAATCCCTTTGGGGAAATCCCTTTGGGGAACCGCTTGCAATTGTAATGGCAACATAAATCTGGCGTCTAAAAGTCACGCTAGTCACGCTAGTCACGCTTCATCTGGACTGACATGCTTGACATGATTGGACTTCATCGCTCATGGTTCTAAGGCCTAAAAATTGTTCCATTGAAACTTACATCAGAAAATGTTATCTGGTATATAGTATAGTTCCAACAAAAAGACAGAAAAAACAAAAAATGAAGAATTTGTGTTTTGACAAATTGAAAAAATTGAAAAAGATATGTCATTTTTATGTCATTTTTGTTTGTGCATTTTTGTCCGGAGACTGTTCCCACTGGACTCCCCAAGGCGAGCCAGGTGGCACCGTTGCCCCCGGTAGTCGATGTCGAAGCCTGAGAAATGTGACGTGTTTCATCGTTTTTCAAGGTCATAAAACTTCAAACCCTTCAAACCCAGTGAGTTGATTGAGTTGATGTTGATAAAGTTGATCCATGGTTTAGTATTGGTCCTATTGGTTTCATATTGTGACATTGTTTCATACATGGCTCGTGATTGATCGAAAAAAAATGCAGCTGCAGAAACAGTAGGGCCCAATGAGCAAAGGGGGCTCGGGCGGCACTGTGAAGTTCTGACGGATCAACCTGCGGCCGGAAAATAGTTGTGGTGTGCTGTGATCGGATGGGACATGTCACTGACAACTGGAATCTATCGGAATCTATCGGAATCTATCGGAATCTATCGGAATCTATCGGAATCTATCGGAATCTAGCATCCTATGGGCCAACAAATACAGAGATATCGGCAGTCAAAGTGTGTCGGGTTTTATAACTTGCTAAGATCAACACTTAGCAAAAGCGGAGGACAATGCTTGTCACAGTGGAGACGAACTTGACCATTGATTCGCAGTGGTCAAACTGCAGGTTGTCATCGCTACTAGTAGATGCCTCTTGAAAAAGTTCATGTAAAATACCCACAAAAATACAGAAATGGCTAAGAACGGACTGATTTTCGGACCTTTTCGAGCATTCACCAGTCTGTTTTAAGTCTATGAATCCCAGTTTTGTTGCTGAAGGTTCTCATCTTGATGCCTTGACCTTGCCGTTGGTTGACATTCTCAATTTCAAGATGTTGAAGGCCCTTAAAGGCTGCAAAGATCTTATAAGATCTTATACAATTGATGACTGAATTCTCACATATTCTCACATCCCCATTTCTTATTCTTATCATTTCTTTCTATTTTTTTCAACACCGTCGATTCGACAACCTGCGCGCCGTTGCCTTCGAAGAGCGCTTGCAGGGAGTAGCTCTGGCCGCCCTGGCCGCCCTGGCCCAGGGTGAGGCGGTTGGCCCAGTGTCACCAGCAACGATTCGGCACGATGCACGCAGAGCTATCCGGCGAGTAAGGATAAGCAAGGGAGGTTTGAAGGGATTTCAATGCAGAAACAAAGCAAATTACCGCAAATGCACGGGTCGCTTTTGATAATTCAACATTCAATGTTGGGAGTTACCCAAAGTTAAC